CAATCCAGTGATACTCGCGCGTCAGGGTACGATGCCACCACACAATCCAGTGATACCCGCTCGTCAGGGTACGATGCCACCACATAATCCAGTGATACCCGCTCGTCAGGGTACAACGCCACCACACAATCCAGTGATACCCGCTCGTCAGGGTACAACGCCACCACACAATCCAGTGATACTCGTTCGTCAGGGTAGGACGACACCACACAATCCAGTGATATTCGTTCGTCAGGGTACGATGCCACCACACAATCCAGTGATACTCGTTCGTCAGGGTACGATGCCTCCACACAATCCAGTGATACTCGCCCCCTAGGGTACGATGCCTCCAGACAATCCAGTGACACCCGCTCGTTAGGGTACGATGCCACCACACAGACACAATCCAGTGATACTCGCGCTTCAGGGTACGATGCCACCACACAATCCAGCGATACTCGCGCGTCAGGGTACGATGCCACCACACAATCCAGTGATACTCGCGCGTCAGGGTACGATGCCACCACACAATCCAGTGATACCCGCTCGTCAGGGTACGACGCCACCACATAATCCAGTGACACTCGCGCGTCAGGGTACGACGCCACCACACAATCTAGTGATACACGTGCGTCAGGGTACGATGCCACCACACAATCCAGTGATACCCGCTCGTCAGGGTACGATGCCACCACACAATCCACTGATACCCGCTCGTCAGGGTACGATGCCACCACACAATCCACTGATACCCGCTCGTCAGGGTACGATGCCACCACACAATCCATTGATACCCGCTCGTCAGGGTACGATGCCATCACACAGTAAGGGCTTCAACGATACAGGAAGGTCACGATACGATACGCTTCTCGATATTCTGGTCACGATACGATACGTATCTCGATACGCAATGATACAGAAACAAGACTTAAAGCATGTCAAGTTTGAACCTTTCATGATTTTGGAAAAGTCAACATCATTTTATAATAACAAGACTACTGAAGTTGTTAAGCTTCAAAGTGGAACTTTCTCTAACTTTCCTTCAAAACAGTTCAAAGTTCAAACACCAGAAAATAATTAATGTACTTTACCAGTGATACAACTTCAAAGAATTGTTATGCAATGGTCGAAGAAATTTTATCTGAAATTATTGGTTTATCAGGAATAATATATTCCAATATCGTGTTACCTTAGTTGCAGCTTTTACTATATATGTATTTAGAATTAAAAAAAACTCAAGCGTAACATTTTGGTACTAGTGGTTGCTGTTGCAGGATATTTTTACGTATGGTACAATCTGACCAATCACCGTAGGGACTTCCCGCGCGACAGGTATTTCGATTGCGAAAATGTTATGTTATCCATTCTTTAGGAACTAAAGTTCTTTTCAATGCGTCAAAAGCGGTAATCGGACCGTGGTTGCTGTGTCTCTTCACACACGATTTCACCTAACTTAATGAAAACAATATTAAATGAAATTTTGAATAAAATTAATCAAATATATGACAAACACATGTCCAGATATACAATGAACACGTTTAATTAACAAGATAGTATAATGATGGTATTGAATTGCGTACTTCAGTTCGGTTTTGCTGACTGGTTTTTCCGGTGTTATGTGCTTGTGGTGATCAGCTGATAATGATTTTTGAGATGGAGAAAAACATCTGTCAGTGTAAAGCATGAGCATATTAAAAATGTAAGTACGTTTTGGGGAGCTTTTTTGCGTTACCGCGCTATAACCAAGTTAGCCGTTTATTGAAAGGCACCATAGCGAGGAAACGCTGTTCTTGAGTGTCTCGTTCCGTATGGTGGCGTATCGATAAACGGGACCACGTTTATCGTATTTCGTATCGTGGGTCAAGTATCGCGATACATCGGAATATCAGTGTATCGTTTCACCTTTACGTATACACACAATCCAGTGATACCCGCTCGTCAGGGTACGACGCCACCACACAATCCAGTGATACTCGCTCGTCAGGGTACGATGCCACCACACAATCCACTGATACCCGCTCGTCAGGGTACGACGCCACCACACAATCCAGTGATACTCGCTCGTCAGGGTACGATGCCACCACACAATCGAGTGATACACGCGCGTCAGGGTACGATGCCACCACACAATCCAGTGATACTCGCGCGTCAGGGTACGACGCCACCACACAATCCAGTGATACACGCGCGTCAGGGTACGATGCCACCACACAATCCAGTGATACCCGCTCGTCAGGGTATGACGCCACCACACAATCCAGTGATACTCGCTCGTCAGCGTACGATGCGATGCTATCCGCAAGTCATCGAACCTGACAACCTCATCCATTTAGTCGCCTCGTACGACAAGCATTTGTTCAATATGAATATATGTTTGAATGCTAATGTTGTGACGTATCACTTCCAGGCCAGGGTTTGGATGGTAGTTCACGCTGTGGAATAATCTGCTTCCCCAGACATTTAATTACATTACCCACCAAAGTAACACTATCATTAACTCGAAACGAAATCAACAGGTCTACCAAACGCAAACTTTTTTTAACGTTTTATTTGCATTCTCTTTTATGTTATCTTTGATCACGAAATGTACCCTCATTATAAAAGGGGGCACGTGTGGGTGCACCGCAAGTAAAGGGCCACAGTTGCCTCCCTTGGCCCGCCAGAAACCTATAGCCGTGGGTTCGAATCCCGGTTCGCCCTGATTATATTTCCAGGTTTGTCAGCACCATACCCGTGCTCGTGGGTTTCACCAAAGTGGTAAAAGTCTAAGACCTGCATCACTTCGGGCTTTCCTCCCACATTAAGCTGACATGCCGTGATACAACTGAAATGCTGTGAAAAGCGGCTTTAATCCAAATTCACTCACTCACCAGAGTGGTAAACGGCTGAGACCGGCATCACTTATGGCTTTCCTCCTACAGACACAGACACAGACACAGACACAGGCACAGACACAGACACAGACACAGATACAGGCACAGATACAGGCACAGGCACAGGCACAGACATAGACACAGACACAGACACAGGCACAGATACAGGCACAGACACAGGCACAGGCACAGGGACAGACACAGGCACAGGCACAGACACAGATACAGGCACAGACACAGGCACAGACACAGACACAGACACAGGCACAGACACAGACACAGGCACAGACACAGGCACAGACACAGATACAGACACAGGCACAGGCACAGACACAGGCACAGATACAGGCACAGACACAGACACAGATACAGACACAGACACAGACACAGGCACAGACACAGGCACAGACACAGGCACAGATACAGGCACAGACACAGACACAGATACAGGCACAGACACAGGCACAGACACAGGCACAGGCACAGACACAGACACAGGCACAGACACAGGCACAGACACAGACACAGACACAGACACAGGCACAGATACAGGCACATGCACAGGCACAGGCACAGACATAGACACAGACACAGACACAGTCACAGATACAGGCACATACACAGGCACAGACACAGACACAGACACAGGCACAGACACAGGCACAGGCACAGGGACAGACACAGGCACAGACACAGGCACAGACACAGACACAGACACAGGCACAGACACAGACACAGACACAGGCACAGACACAGATACAGACACAGGCACAGACACAGGCACAGATACAGGCACAGACACAGATACAGGCACAGACACAGGCACAGACACAGACACAGACACAGGCACAGACACAGACACAGGCACAGACACAGACACAGGCACAGATACAGGCACAGACACAGACACAGATACAGGCACAGACACAGACACAGATACAGGCACAGACACAGACACAGATACAGGCACAGACACAGACACAGATACAGACACAGACACAGACACAGATACAGACACAGACACAGATACAGACACAGACACAGGCACAGATACAGACACAGACACAGATACAGACACAGGCACAGACACAGGCACAGATACAGGCACAGACACAGACACAGATACAGACACAGACACAGACACAGATACAGACACAGACACAGATACAGGCACAGACACAGGCACAGGCACAGGGACAGACACAGGCACAGACACAGGCACAGACACAGATACAGGCACAGACACAGGCACAGACACAGACACAGACACAGGCACAGACACAGACACAGATACAGGCACAGACACAGACACAGGCACAGACACAGGCACAGATACAGGCACAGACACAGACACAGACACAGATACAGACACAGACACAGATACAGACACAGACACAGACACGCCGCGATATAATTGATATACTGTTCAAAGCGGAGTTACTCACACACTCATTCATTTTCCAAAAGGCTGTATCCGCGCAGGCTCACCAGCGGCCAATGTGCATAGAGCATTTAAATGTCAGACCACATTTCAACTTGACGATAATCGAAACGTACCCGTCATGCATGTTCATGTATCCTGCGCGTATTCAAGTGCAACAAATATTTTATTCAACGAGAGAAAAACATGTCCAACAAAACATATTGAACGTCCATTTTTATAATAATCAGCTCTACCACTGACTTATATTACAATCGAAGTTCGCTGCAGGAATACATATCGCACTGGTGTCAATAAAACTGAATTGCCGCAACGACCAACGTTTCTGGCTATTGGAAATCGGGGTAATTACAGTCGCGGCGCTTGCATCCCGTGTTCGCCTCGCGGAGACGTCAGAGTCGTCATCGGCGAGATCCCCAATCACATTCACGTCCTCGATGCTGCTCCATCAGCTTTTATCTGCTGCCGAAATATTTTGCCAAAATTTTCCAAGTGACAGAAAATCGTATAAAGTTAGATGAAGCGTAAGCTGAACGTCACAAGAGTTTATGGAGACGCTCGTGGTACATGGTTCTTCAACAGTGTTGACAAAGTGTTACATAAACACGATTGATTCGCTTGGCTTCCACCTCAGAATTAATCCTACCTATTGTTAATGATAAATTGTATGGAAAATACTCTAATGACGGCCGTTCCGTCGCATTTTGGGAGGTTGTTGCAGAAATGGTAATCTCCTACAACTCCGTTGACTGAAGCGGACGCGAGATTGCCAACAATCGATGGCTACGTCCACTAGCTGGGAGAGATTCGTCTTGTTGTCGGAAGGTTAGCGCTTCGGTTCCAGCTAACGGGCACGATTGCTCTCTGGGTTCTGCAGTGGTTTCCGTAAAGCGTATACATCGCTGCAAGCGTTGTCGTGAACGTTGACAACGGCCTTGATGTCACGACGTTCTGGACTTTACTCGAAATAAGGTATCAATCTTTCCACTTGAGCTGAATGCGTTACACTCATATCACCAGAAAGTTCATATATATTTCTGAGTAGATTTTAAATTTAACGCATTCGTTTTTTACATGTAAAGACTTATAAAGTTCGTGTACAACTTACTTGATGTAGAAAATAACTGTTTTAACGTACTTACCACAAAATTATGAACAGCGCGCCTCATTAACGTCAGTTCTAATATTAGAAAAGGCGGATGTTTTTCACTTGAAGAAACGCATTACTAATTTATAAATGATGTCAGACATAATATGGTTTTGCTTTTGAATAATCTGCAAGGTTCTGAGAACCTTGTCTGACTAGACCTGGAATTGTAACAATTGCAATTTGTTTATTTGCTGTTTAAAGCCGAACCCAGCAATATACCAGCTATATGACGGCAGTTTGTAAACAATTGAGTATGGACCAGACAATCCTGTGATTTACACCATGTGCATCGCAACAAAATTAATATGAAGCAGAATACAACTCTTTATGTAACAGAAGTCTTATCCAAGTCAATATCGCAGTAACGAAATGTGTCTATGTTCCACAAATCATAAAGGGTTAATTGACAAATATAATTTGATATTCCCGATGTTCACTGCAACAGGTTGTCGTTGATTCGAACTCTTGCCAAATGCCTCGGGAAATAAATTTAAACAGTAATTGTGAAATGCTGTGCACATTTGAATTTTGCTGTGAATTTTAAAGGTTACACTGTGCGTCACACGTGTTTAAGAATTTTTAAGCAATTGTTATAAGTAAACAAGTAAACAGGTAACCAAGAAACATCTATCATTACCAAACGGTCATTGTTACAGTCCGAGTGAAAAAAGACTGTGTGGAAATGTCTTTTTTAAAACCATGGTAAGGTATTGCAGTTCATTTTCTGTTTAAGTTCCAAAGTCTGTTTTATAAGGATTCATAAATACTTTTTGGGCTTCAATCGCTTTTCCAGAATCTAACTAAACCTTTTTTATTGGTCCGAAGTGTTCTGCTGTCGTTATTGACTTGTTGGTGTAATTAGGTTCTGTTTTAGACATTGACAGACCCCCAGAACCAAGAAACAGAACTTACAACAGAGCCTTCTTCGGGAGCACATGTCAGTGTCAATATGCGCTGTGAAGAATGGTGAACATTCTATAACGTAGCAACCGTGCTGCACCTTTTTGGGATCGGAGTCAGCAAGCATCGGGCTTAAAGTGGTTGAGAGGTCAGTGCTCCGTGATGGTTTAAATTTGATAAAGAACGTTCGTATTACGGCAAGTTGACCAAGGAATTTGGTTACGGATCCACCATCTTGACTACTACCGGCCCATCAGAGCTAATACTTTGCAGTGAAGGTAAATACGGCTTCTCTCTTAACAAACAGTGGGAACTGGTGTTTGCTCAGAACCACCAAACGCCTCACCGTGTTGGTTTCATATTGTTTAGCTGGTGGATATATTTGTATGTTGAACAAACAGGATTTGTTTTCACTCTCACTCGCATTGGTCGTGAAAACTGACATCAGGGATGTGACCAATTACAGATACGGACCTATTCCGTGTCATTGGTGAAGATCTGACACACGGATGGGAAGACGGAGATTCATTCACATGGGCTGGAAACGGCCGATATGTAAAAATTGCGTAAGAAATCCGCTTTGGGAAACATTTATTTGATTTTTGTAATGTGTGAACTGTCATTTGAATTGTATGGTTCACTAATCTACGTGATCAAAGGTGCGGTCATCAAGAAAAAAAAAGTGTTCTGAAAACTTCAGTATTCTTCATCTAATGAGTTAATGATAGAGTTACCCTGTGATATAGATATAATGTGACTGAATCGATCTTGTAATTCATAGATGAACATACACAGGGCGGACCAGAAACTTCTTCCCCGATAAAATCTGCAACAACATTATAGGGAGTGACGTTGTGGTTGATTTCCTTGACATGTTACCAACTCCGACAATCAGGCGTATTGTGTACGTGCAGTCACGCGTAATGACATCACTGTCTATTGTGATATAGGTTTCAATCTGGTTACATTATCGCAAAGGAAATTGTAACTGTGCATGTATGAAACTTTGTGATCACGCTACGAGGTGTGTTTATCTGATTGAAATAATTGTCGTCTGCTCATAGATCGCGGTATAGTCGTCTGCTCGTCTATCAATGGACGGTCGTCTGCTTGTGTATCGGGGGATGTGATTTATGATTGATTGGAAGAGAGAGGTGATGTTTCAAGCCAGATTGCTACAGGTTGTGAACGGAAGCCTGCAGCACGTGGACTCTGGTGAATCCAGAAGTCGCCAGTCTCGCCCTCAAGCTGCCTCGTCGGTTGACTATGATTCTCGATTTTCCGGCAAATATCCCTGGCAGCAAGCTCGTGACTTAAGTCCCAATAAAAAACAGTTAATCCAAGCTCACCTGGCTCTGCAGTAAGTGGCGTTGGTTGAGATTATCATGCTGTCATAGAGGAGAGATAACACCGATTGCTGCAGAGCCTGATCGATACCATGAGGAAGCAGCTCTACATATATACCGTTACTGTCGGTTGGCCCTTGTGCTCAGCTGCGGACTGGTGCTGGTCTTTGATTGGCTGCTAGAAATCACGTGATAACATGCATGCCCACAAAATCCTGGTTCACATACTTGTCTATTAGTCTGTTGGTGTATTTCGGATAAGGTACTAACTGTTTGTGAGAAGTGATCAATCAAGCTATGAGTGAGAAGTCAAGGTATCACTGTATCACTCCGCTGTATGGGAGGAATGACGAATGAGGATACACCAAAGAGAGGGAATTGGAATTAAAACGAACTAGGAACATGTTGGAATTCGTTGTCCAAG